GCACATTCTCGTACTAATTCCTGAAAAATCATAAAATAACATGCACAAGCATAAAACAGGCCACGAGAGTGGGAACCAAAGCTCAAACGGTCAAGAAATGACAGGAAAAACATGTTCAAATATGGCGTTATCAAATTCCCCCACACTTAACTGTTTGCTTGTCCCCAAGCAAACCGAATCAGTCACCCGGTAAGCTCAAAACATTTTTTAACCATGCAAACCTTGGGGACATATCATACAGGCACAAACACGTGAATCATACTGGCCACCAAACCTCAACACATGGACAACAACAACAGCAACATGGACAACCACCACAGATGACATTTGAGTGCAGCAAAATCGAGTAAGGGAAGAGTCTCCCTTTTGTTCACAAACCAACATAGACTTGACTCAACCCCTTATTCAAGGGATTTTTCCAGAAATAGCACCTTTAAAAAAAATTACAAAAATAGCACTCAGTCCATAAAATTACAAAAATAGCACCCTTTTTTAAAAACCGCACCTCTAAGGTGCGATTTGAATGTGAACTGCACCCCCTGGTGAGGTTTGTATGTAAACCGCATGCCCAAGGTGCGGTTTAGCATTCTGGGCCAAAACCTCATCTTGGCCATGCGGTTTGTGTGTCTGATCTAAGAAAACCGCATGGCCAAGATGTGGTCTTGTGCTGACCTAGCAAAACGACACTTTGGGGATGCGGTTTTGCTTCCCCAAGACAAACCGCACACCCAAAGTGCGGTTTTGACAACACAAACCGCACCCCCATGCGGTTTGTGTGTCAATTATTTTCCGACACCAAACATGTAACCATGCAGATTGACAGACGTGGGGCTTCATGGCAGATGAAAACCACACCCTCCCCATGCGGTTTTCATTGATGATTTTGCTTATAAAAGACAGCCCGGGAAACCTCTTCTCTTCACACCTCTCCATCTCCCTTTTCAATTTTCTGTTGTAGCTCCCTACTTCTCTAGTGTTTTTGCGGTTAACGTCAACTCGTAAGTTTATTTTGTATTACTTTTTATGTGAATTTTGAATTGTGATTTTTATGATATTAGTTGAACTACTGTTTTTTTGCAGATGGCATTCCAAAAGTTTACGCTTGGGTTACGGTGGAATGGTTACACGGAAGAGAGCGGAAAGGGGGTCACCTACATCGGTGGCAATTTTCAGAAAATAAAGGTCGCTACCATTCCGATGCTTGAAGACCTCTATCAGATGTGTATTAACGTTACTTGCATGGATGGCACGAGAAGAGTTGATCGTATGGTGTACCGATAACCAAACAGAGAAGGCAGGTCGTTGTGGCACGAGGAATATCTCATTACCACTCAGGATGAAGTAGATGCCATGCTCGAATTCTTGAGGTCCAACAATCTTTCCAAAGCCGAGATGGTCGTTTACACTGAGGCGGTCGTAGGCGTTGGAGGTCATTCTGGAGACAGTCAAACATCTTGTATCCATGGTGGAGGTGAATTATATGGAGATCCTCATTCCTATTTTCAGTACCAAGAGCAAGGTGAAGGTCATCATCAATCTTTCCCGTCATATGAAGAAGAAGTTCAACCGGACCATGCCAACCAACCCGAGTACAACTTCCAATCAGGCAACGGTAGTTTTCACAACTACCATTATGGAGCTGAGGAAGGTGCCTTTCCTGAGCTGGATCAGAGGGAAGATGCCCTGCCAGCACCAGTTAGTGACCCCTTCGATGAAGAAGGAGAGAACAATGTTAGTGTAGACAACTCCGACCCTCTTGAAGGTGTTGATGATTCAGGACCAGAGTCAGACTCAGATAATGATGATGAGGTGGCTCATGACCGTGTACCAGTCCCCTACTACAATCTCATTCCAGACGACAATTGGATGGTCGACAGCGACATGGAACCCCCGTAGGTTCCAGTATGGGGTCCACTCACCGGGTTTATGAAGGGCCAACAATTTGGCTCGAAGAAGGAGGTACGGCACGCCATTGATATTGAAGCAATGACTTGGCATTTTGAATGGCACACAACTCATTCCAACACGAAAAGGCTCATAGTCAGATGCCGTAATCATAACGAGGGATGCAATGTTAGGATTCAGGCCATCAACAGCAAGAGACACGACCATTGGGTTATATCCCGTGCGGTGAACACACACACATGTGTGTCATCCATAACATCCCAAGTCCATCTACAGTTGAAATCCAGGGTGGTTGCTGCGGCTATCAAGCATCTAATTGAGCAAGATCCTGACCTGAAGGTGAAAGTCATAATCGCTGACGTTGCAAGTCGTTCTGGTTATATGATTAACTATAAGAAGGCGTGGCATGGAAAGCAGAAAGCTCTGGCCGCCGTATTTGGTGATTGGGAAGAATCATGTGCATTCCTTCCCAGGTTGATCTTGGCATTGGAGGCATCTAACCCTGACACTGTTTTCTCCCCTCGATACCAAGATGAAGAGATATAACCGCTAGAGCCAGGTAACAAACGCCATTTCAGACGACTTTTTTGGGTATTCAAGCTATCTATTGATGGTTTTGGCTTCTGTGTCCCTGTGATCCAAGTGGATGGTACATTCCTTATCAACAAGTACAAGGGCACTCTACTGATTGCCAGTGGGGCGGATGCAAACAAACAAGTCTTTCCTTTAGCCTTCGCCATTGTTGAGGGAGAGAATACTGATAGCTATGGATGGTTTTTCCGGCAAATTCAGCTCCACGTCACTAGGAGGACGAGCTTGACAATAATCTCTAATCGGCAAGCGGGATTAGAGCTGCCATCTTAGGTTTGGATCCAGCCTGGAAGTGGTCCCAAAGGTGGTGCATACGACACTTCAAGAGCAACTGGAACCATCATTTCAAGCGGAAGAAGCTTGCTGATAATTTGTGGTGGATTGGTAAGCTCTCTATTGGTTGTTTAATTTTGTCAAATAACAATATCTTATATCAAATAAATGGTACACTTGTTAGACTCTTTCTAAAGAGATGCATGCCTAAGGAAATGGGGTTTTAAGCGATTATCATGGTCCTCCCATTTCCTGGGAAAATCAGGATTTAAGCGATCCTCGGATCCCCCATTTTTCTGTCAACGAGGTTGTGTTTCTAAGGAGACATATACCTCTCCTAAGAGTCTAACGAGAGTACCTGCTGGTTGTTCGAATTGTACTAAATTGCCGAATTATGACTAACGTAATACTTGATTGTGATTACCTCAGCTGTTGCATACCAAGAGAAAAAATTCTAGGAGAAGTTGCAGAAGATGCGCGAGTTATGCCCTGAAGGGGCACAGTGGCTGGATGTACACGACCTATCCATGTGGACATTTCATAAAGACGGATGTACAAGATGGGGTATTGCCACAATGAACTCAAGTGAGAGTATCAATTCTACCAACTAGGGTGTTCGGGCGTTGCCAATCTCTACCATTGTGGAGATGACTTTCTGGAAAATGAATGGATGGTTCGTCAATCGACTACACTGGGCAAGGACGAACGAGGCACAGGGAAAGGTCCATGCCAATAAAGTCACAAAAATACTCGAGCATGACAATTGCAAGAGTAGTTGACACAGTGTAACCGTTATGAATTGGGAAACTGGCAAGTTTAGCGTGACGACCGGACACCGTGAGGATGGTAGACGCGGGGGCCATCGCCATGAAGTTTTGGTAAATTTCAAGACAAAACTTGGTGAGTGCTTATGCCAGAAGTATCAGGGGAGAGGGTGGCCATGTTCTCATGCAATGGCTGTAATTAAAAACAGGAGCAAAGACCCCCGTCACTTCGTCAGTCCATTCTTCAATATCGACTCACTCAAAAATTGCTATGGACGGAGTTTCCGTGCATTTCCTGATGAAGCTTATTGACCGGTGTACTCAAGAAAGTTGATCATCCCGCCGTTCGGACAGAGGCGTGAACCAGATCGACTGAGGAAAATGAGAATTCAGAACGAAATGGATCAAAGTGGAAGACCACCACGAGGCCCAAGATGATGTTCGGTATGAAGAGTTCCAGGGCATGATAAATGAAGTTGTCCAGGTCCGATTGGTCCGCAAAATCCGGGTCCTGATGTGGGGGACTCAGCTAATGCGACATAGTTTGCGGTTTTCATTTATCGGTACTTGTTATGTATGTTTTCACTTATTGTCGGAGTTAGAGCTATGATGCTTGGAACTTTCGTGTTTGGCAAATAACCCTCAATTAACACTCAAGCCTTAAGTTAACACGATCAAAATAGAGAAAGCCAAGTACATAGAACTAAAATAAAAACTAAAACAAAACTCAATTAAATAAACTAAAATAAGAGGAAGGGTTTCAAGTACATATAATTAAAATGATAAAACTAAAAATAAATCTCAAGGAAGTCCCTGAGACTCATGGGGCTGCAAGGTTTTCTTGCTCCTTGTACGACGAACGACGGGAGTAACCATCGGTGGTTGCGGTGGCAAGCTTCGATGGGCCATGTTAGGGCGCTCGTCGGTGCTGTGTCGGCATCGATCCGTGGTAGGCGGCACTTCTGAGGTAGAGCGGGGGACATCCACGCTCATACGGTGAGGGGTAGGAGGCCATGGCTGATGAGGGCGAGGAATAGGATTGAAGTCGTGATGCGCAGTCGTGGAGGAACCATCATGCCAAGTACCCGAGGATGTGGGGGGTTCGTTGAAGAAGTTTGGGCAGGGATCTTGGGGGTAGATCGGCCGAGGATCATAGAATGGAGGGCGAGGATCATAGTATGGTGGGCGGGGATCGTGGTATGAGATCGGGCGGGGATCATATGAGGATTGATGGTAGCTCGGGCGGGGATCGTAATATGAGCTCGGGTGGGGATCATGATGGTAGGTCGGGCGGAGATCATGATGGGGATCTTGGGAGTGGCTCGGGCGGGGATCTTGGGAGTGACTCGGGCGGGGATCTTGGGAGTGGCTCGGGCGGGGATCTTGATGTGAGCTTGGACTGCACCGTGTGCCACAACCAAGGGGGTCGACACTCTCCACGCCTCCAACGGCCTTATCTCGGGCACATGAGGTCTTTCCCGAACCTTCTTGCTTTTCTTTCTCTCGTATGGTGGTGGAGGGTGGGGACATTAACTTTACTGGAGGTGGCACTGGTGCGGGCATGGGAGGGTATCTACGATGATCACGATCCTGTGCTCTGATACAGCCAAGCAGACTGTTTGTCATCCTCCTGATGAAGCTCACATCTTCAATGCCCATTTCATGTTTCCCATGGGTCAAATCTTTGATCCGCTCGATCCCATCAGCCTAAATCACATAAAAAGGTTAGCAAGATAAACTAATGATGTGTCAGAATGAAGCAAGCAATAAATTTAATCTTATTAGACGGAATATACTTACCAATGCACCATCGACCGCACCCTCCAGAGTCACGTACCGAACCGATGTATGCCGATATCTATCCATGTATGGGTCATGATACCCCATTCGACCCACATTTGTTGGAGTGACAATGTCCTGAAGTTGTCGGTTCTCCCATATCGCGATCATTTCCGCCAACTTCGTGGGCTAATCGTGAGTACCTTGCCAACCATCTCGGTGGTGAAACGCCCTTTGACTCTCGGGGACCTCCAACGCAATGCACTGCTCCCTACCAAACTGACGAAGGCATCGATCCGGCAGGTGCCACTCCACGGTCCCTAAACAAATAAGAGGAACTCTCGTGCACCATTGCCCGATATTCTTGGGGAATTGTTGTAAATGCCAATGAACGATGTTCACCGGGTATGGATCGAATTTGATCTACAAAAAGAAATTAGTAACTTAAGTTAAACAAAATTGGAAAAATACATGTACTCCATGAAAAAAAGTTATAGCACTTAGAAGTATTCTAGTTACCTCTCCTTCCCAAAGTCGCTCTAGCCTCCTCCGATACTCTACCAACTTGTGTTGGGCAAGGTTGTCGCATGTTGAGGCTCCAACCCACCTTATTAATAAGACAATAATAAAAATACAATAAGCTAAAATAAGCTAAAACATAATGAAAATTGTGTTATTAAAATCATTATGGGGTATGAGAAATTTACCTACAACCATAAGCTTCGAGTCTTAGGGGATGATCGGGACCCCAATTCCTGTCAGGATATTGGAGCGGTGCAATCCATGGCAGATGCTCCCAAGCTCAAAATTGGATGATGAACATTGCGCCGCCGACCTCCCTCACAGCTTTGAGAGATGCATTGCACAAATGGTGGTAGATATTAGCTAGACAAGCGGATGCCCAGCTCAACTCCCCCATCTCATCCCAACTACCAAGGAGGATCCTAAGCCATCCACAACTAATTAAATTGCTCGATTTTTTTGGAGAAGAACACTCCTTTTATCATGTCTATGAGATAGACACGAGCATATCTTTCCTTCTCTAGCTCCGGACTTTCCTCGGTTAGGGGCACCCCATCTTTGGCAGGATCATGATGGTCCCTAAAATACTTCGTCAACCAAGTGATCGATACTTGGTGTTTCCTCAATGGTGGCAAGCGATCCGTCGCATCAACGCTCCCCTTGATTGGTACTTTCACCCCCGGAAACACTGTGGATGAAATGCTGCCAACTGGTCATACCGTCACGATCCTCGAGGGGATGATCACTCACACACACCGCTTTGCCGTCGATGGGCAGATGGGTTAGGATGGCGACATCCTTTAGCGTGATGGTGCACTCTCCTTCGCGAAAGTTAAAACAATCTGTCTCCTTTCTCCATCTCTCCACCAATGCGGTGATGACTTGGCGATCGACTTTTATGCCTACAAAATGACTAATCGACTCCAACCGTGCCCTTTTAAGAAAGGGCAAGATAACTGGATTCCATGGGAGCACATTGGTCGTACCCCTGTAGCAGAGTATTTGTTGTGCCTACTAGAAAAAATTTCAACGTTATTTATGATATATTAGTAACATTTTAGTCTTATAACTAAATTAATTAAAATTAATGATTTAATTTCGACTATAATTATATTAAAATTATATTATTAACAATCAAATTTAAGTAATTGATGATTTTTTCCAAGATATATACATATTATCATAAAACAAACATACTCAATTAATTGACATAAATAACATTATAAATGAATAATAATTTAAAGAGATACATACATATTCAAACATTTGAAATTAATAAAATTCATTTAAGTACACATAAACATAAATGTATTGGTTGTTTGGTAAATAATTTAATCGTATTGGTTGTTTTAAATAATTTAATCGAATACAATGCAACACTCGTTAGACTCTTAGAAGAGGTATACATCTTCTTAGAAACGCAGCCTTTTTGAAAGAAAAAGGGGGGATTTGAGGATCTCTTAATACCTGGTTTTCCCAGGAAATGGGAGGATCATGATAATCGCTTAAAACCCCATTTCCTAATCCAATGGTCTTGAAGACCGTTCCGCTGAAAACACAGACCGCACCTTCCTTGTGCGGTTCCCAGTCTGACGTGGCGCGAAACGCACCTCCAAGGTGCGGTTTAATTATAAAATGCACCTTGGAGGTGTGGTTTGATAAAAATGGTGCTAGTTTTGTAAATTTTATGGCCTGGGTGCTATTTTGTAATTTTTTTTAAAAGGTGCTATTATTGAAAAAATCCATTTTTAAGACAGTCACCTTATGCATAAAATTCAAGACATCAGAATCAAGACTGAGCAATCTAGGTCCTCACCGGGGTAGAGAATGTAAAATATAGGAAAATGAATCGCTCACTCTCGACCAGTGGGGTCATGACAACTTGATGTGAAAGATGCACATGCTCAATCTCTCAATCCTAACGTCTCTTCACCATGATGGCAACCTCTAAATGCTAGATTTCACATATCGGGTGTCACCACTAACTAATCCAGAGGTCTTAGACACAGGTTAAATGACTGGCTAGGGTCTTGGACATGGGGAAAAAGCCTTTTAGGTGGTGGAAGAATTCAAAGCATGAGGTTCACAGTTCCAAACCCAACACACTTACCATCATTCAAACCATTTACTTTCTTTCTGCCATTCTGCATTAATCCAATTCTTTAGAGTACAAGAGTGAAGGAGGTCACAATATTGCTAGTATTTCTAAGCTAAATCGCTAAGAAACCCTACTTAATGGGCATGATTCAGATTTTTATGGTGGCTCTCTTTTGCTTTCGTCTATTTTTTTTTCCTTTTCATTTCTTTAGAGAACCACCACCTTTACAATTGTTTCGAACAGATGCCCAACTTTTAAGAACTACCTCCAACCCTCATATTGTTTTTAGCAGAACAACAGAGAACATGCAAAAACCACTCTGTGGGACCTCTAAGAGATGCAAAGGGTGATTTTCATTGAAGACCGAAGGAAGGAAGTTACTTAGGCTCAAAGGGGCTGACTACGGGTATGACACCAGGACAGTCAATTTGGTCGTGGGCTAATCCTATGCCTCCATCATCCTAATTAGTGACAACGTGAATGCTACACATCATGAAAGAGGGATCTATCGCACAAGAAAGAAATGAGCAGGCTCAATCTCACATGGCTACCTATATGCTCTATCTCTCATTCTGATTCCCTGAACTAGATGCATAAACGACTGTAGCAAATAAGTGATCAATCCAAGTAACAATTGGTAAGCAAACAGTTGAAAAACTGAACCCCTACATGGTTCTACTACACGTCTCAATCATCAGTATAGGTTGTCCTAGTCACAAGCAAGTTACCATGCATCAATGCCAATAGCCAATCGATTCACCATATAAACCACAGTGCCAATACGATCATGCAAACATCAGTACATGGAGCCCTCAAATCTCGAGATTTGGACAACGAATTAGTCTCAAAGCACACATACATATGTTCCGATAAATACAAAGCACCCCCACACTTAAGTTCGACATTGCCCTCAATGGAGCAGAGGAAAAAGGAACGATGTTATAAGAAAATGATCAGCGGGAACGGTGGCAGACCATTCAATAGCAGGGGATTGGAAAGGGACCAGTCCAAAGGCACATAGCTAGAGTCATTAAAACACACTGGGTGATAGAAACCATAATTCCAAGTGGAAAAACCAAAAAGAAACAAAAGAAAAGCAAACTGTGGTGGGGTTGCCTCCCCACAAGCGCTTCTTTTACATTTTTAGCTGGACGCAGAGGGTGGATGCTCAGAGCGGTGTAGGAATAGGTGCCTCCAAGAGCGGATCCACATCGCTCTTGAGGTACAACTTCAGATGGTGGCCATGCACATGACGGGTGTGACCACCAGCACATGTCAACTCGACCTGGCCATCCGGCAGGATGCAAGCGAGTGAATACTCGGATAGCCAGGGAAATCGTGGCTCAGGAGGCGGGACCAGCTCATAGTGGTCTCCAGCTTTCTTTTGAGCAGGTTTAGCTACCTGCAGTTTCAGCCGCCACTCCTCTTTGATCTTTTCTTTTGGTAACGGCGCGGACAGGAGTGGATGCGAAGGAATGGGAGGAGAGTCCTGCAAAACAGAAATCACATAAGTATACACGACAGACTCGTGCACCTGGTGAGAGACAACATGCAAAGGTGATAAACCAGACATATATTAACAATGAAAAATGTTATCTACTCGCCATCTCTCATAATCAGGGTCCCATCATGCACATCTATGAGAGCCTTGGCAGTGGCCAGGAAAGGACTACCTGTATAAGGGGAACTTCTGCGTCCTCATTGATGTCTAAGACAACAAAATCCGCAGGATAAAAGAATCTGCCAACCTTAACCAAGAGGTTTTCCACTATGCCCTTAGGATGAACTACAGATCGATAAGCTAATTGAATACTCATCCTTGTTGCAGTTGGCTCACCTAGACCTAGTTTCTTGAACAAAGTATAGGGTATAACATTAATACTAGCACCTAAGTCTGCCAGGGACCTCTCAACATGCATTTTACCGATAGAACATGAGATTGTGAAAAATACCTGGATCCTTCTGCTTCTGTGGGAGCTTGTTCTGCAGGATGGCCGAACACTCCTTACTGAGCTCCACAGTGGCCAGCTCACTCAACTTCTGCTTCTTTGAGAGAAGATCTTTCAGGAACTTCGCATACTTAGGCATCTGAGATAATGCCTCCAGGAAGGGCACTTGAACATTCAACTTCCTAAGCATGGACATGAAGTTCCCAAACTCTGCCTCTAACCGGTCTTTGCGCGTCTTGGTGGGAAAATGGAGCTTAGGCTTATATTTAGCCACTACTGGTTGGGGCTTTGGGGCCCGAACCTCTGGCTCCTTTTCCATCACCAGGTCTTCTTGTAACACCATGATATTTTAGATTTAAGTTCGACCTTAATATGTGATGGTTGGATTGACGGTTACGTACTAAGAGTTACAACCGCAGATTAAGAATATTATTATTATTATTATTATTACATTATTTGTTAAAAAAAATACATATATACAAAGAGGGCCGGGGGAGCGGCCCTGCCCACTCCCCAGCAAACCCTCATAATAATAATCCCCCCGCCATTTTTGCCTTCCACGAAAAATACAGCAGCAAATGCCGCGGAAGAAAAAAAAAAAATAGCCGCCGCTGCGACAAAAAAAAAGAAAAGAAAGGGAGCGCCGGCTCCCCATCCCGACCCGATTCCGATCCCATCCCTTTAGTGTTTCTAGGTAAGGATCACGAACCCCTTCGCGATTTCTAAACTCGATTCATCGATAGT